TTCCAAATATGACCCTTTAGGGTGGTACCACTGACCTCAGTATCTATATATATGAAATAATTTATGCAACCGGTCTATTGGGACAAGCAACATTGTGTTACTGATTCCAATGGTCATAAGTGAGATAGATACACGCCATGACACCAGACTAAATGCCCATACGAGAGCAGACATGACGGTGTCACTGATCTGAGTGGTCATGCATGGAATAGGTAACCCCGTTCTACTACTCTTATTGGCCACAAATAGTGTATTCAATATGATATCACTGTCTTAAATAGTCAAAAGTGGGATAGGGAAGCCCATGTCATGGTTATATATAACGTAAGAATCACAGTGTCATTGACATATGATCATCTATAGGAGGTAATGGTGTGCCATTCACCCTAAAGAACCATATATGAGAAACATAATGGTGCGCCACCACCCAAATAGCCAAATATAGGATGCATAATGATATGCCACCGCCCAAAGAGCCATATATGGAATACGTAACGGTGTACCACTACCCTAAAAGGTCATATATAGGATACATAATGATATGCCACCGCCTAAAGGGCCACCACCGTAAAGAGTCATATATGGGATAGGTAATGGTATGCTACCACCCACAAAACCATATATAGGATACATAATGTTGTGCCGTCACCCAAAGAACCACATATGGGATATGTAATGGTGTGCTACGTTAATGTAATGCCACTCACCTGTATCGCCATATGTAAGATAGCTAACCCAATACCACAGTCTAAATGTGCATATACAAGGCAAGCATCACGGTGCCACTGAGCTGACTGTCATAAACGTAATAGGGAAGCTAATACCAGTGGTCTAAATAGTCATATAAGGAGAATATGCGACATTGTGTCACGGACCTAAATGTTTGTTTGTTTTGAATTTTGCGCAAAGCTACACGAGGGCTATCTGCGCTAGCCGTCCCTAACTTAGCAGTGTAAGACTAGAGGGAAGGCAATTAGTCATCACCACCCAACGCCAACTCTTTTACCAACGAATAGTGGGATTGACCGTCACATTATAACACCCCCACGGCTGAAAGGGCGAGCATGTTTGGTGTGACGGGGATTCGAACCCGCGACCCCCAGATTGCGAGTCGAGCGCCCTAACCACCTGGCCATGCCGGGCCACGGGATTGGTAACCATGGTTTAAATGACCATACAAAGGATAGAGACCTATATGGTAATATATGGGATAGACAACCCCATACCACCAATGTAAAGGGCCATAAAGGTACAGATGATAGGTATTATAGTTCTGTTCAGCAGCAGTATGACATCTACTCCAACTTTATTAAACTTCCAAAATGGCTCCCTTGCCCACCCTCCTCCTCCTTTACGACCCACCCATCCACTCGTAATATTATTTCAGTGAAAAAGAAATAAGTAATTCCTAAAACTTCTTGACTGATAAAGAATATAATATATAACTTTCAAGTACACTAACCATAACACTAATAATTGGTTACGTAGAAACGTGTCTATCTAAGCTCAAACATGAAGTGCGGAATCATGTTTTCACCAATTACAAGATATTAGCTCTCAGCCTCAATGGCTCAGGGGTACGTTTGTGACCCATCAATAAACAAACAAAAAATAAATACGAAGAATTAATTACGTGTTATATATATATAAAGAAATTCGTGTGGTTTATTAGTTAAAATGCTTGTTGCGCAAAAGTCTGTCTGTGCAAAGTAAATACTTTAAAGAAGAGAAATATGGATCTTATTTTGCACTTAGGTTTGTTTGTTTGTTTGTACTTAAGCACAAAGCTACACAACGGACTATCCGTGCTCTGTCCAAACCCGGATTCTAGCGTTCTAAGTTCGCAGACATACCGCTGTGCCACTGCATTTGGGAATTCAAATATTAAAAGCAATTGTTAAAATAAATCATTTTATTTTTATAACTGGAAACATTTAAGATATTTACTGAATGTATTTGTTACTGAAAAAAGTGATAATTTCTGTTTTACTGTCTACTCGGAAGAGACAAATATACATATACGAAAAAATATGAAAATATTTTATTAAATATTTAAACAGAGCTTTGCTACATCAACTAATGGATATTATCGAAAATTTGCAATTCTAAGAAGTCTAATCACTTATATCAAACACTCATCTACCTGTAGTAATTCAACGATAATTAATATTGTTCTGTAAGTTTATCAACTTAACATATAATTAAGATTTGACATTTTGATTTATATGTTAAAAAACATAAAATTATTCTGTTCAGAGTTATACTGTCGATCGAAATACGTTTTCTGATAACCTTGTAGAGCTTGTGCTTTTGGTAAAGTTAAAGCTTCAGAAACACTTTATATTCTAGAAACTCTTTCGTGGTTTTAACCGATTACTTGTTATAAGCAAAACGAAATGAAACGAACCGATGTGATAGAGGTGTTTGTTTGAATTTTAAAATGGTTTTCAACGATCTTTACGTAGGGTTAAAATAAGTTACCGTTTATGGAGAAATCTGACAACTGGAATAAAGGAAACAATAATGTTAGCATTATTTGAGTGATAACTTCAAATATTCTGTACAAGTAGCATTTATTATTCTACTGTGGAGTTTTCGTAACAGTCTTAGTTCATGATACCCATTTTCAGTATTGAACTCAAACCAATTGAAAGCGTTTGGATGTCAGCAGATTTTCTTCCGACGTTTATGTTTGTGCGTTACACATATTCTAATCAGTGGCATAAGTAAGCCCCCGCAATTGCGGGGGGGTGGGGGCTGACAACTTCACATTTAACATCCATCGATGAACCACAGAAAAACGTGAGAACTATTATAGATGATCTCAGTAGAAATTGACTCCTAGCGGGTATGATTATCAATTTTGTGCTTGAACATAAGTTGCCTTTGGTTTTATTTTTCATTTTGTTTCTTGAGGTTATGCCACGATTCTCAACGTTTACCTTGGAAGTTTAGTTCACTCTACCGGTAAGTTTAAGATGTTAATATCAAACGTTATTTTACTTATTCAAATAGCTGTTGGCGTTACCAACTTTCAGAATTCTTCCATGTCTTCTCTTCAAATGTGTCAAATAAAATTGAACAAAATAGCATTAGCGTAGACAAATATTTTGGACACTAGACCATTTGTCGAGAGTTGTACTTCATCACATTTTATTTTAACAAAAATGGTAACAACAATCCAAGTGTTTGTCCACGTACAAGAAACTCTCAGATATTTACGATCATGTTTTTTATAAATTTTAGATTTGTATATTTTTAAAAAATATGTCAAAATAACATAGAAACCACTCGATCTACCCAAAATGTTATTGGGTTCTATGTTCCAGTCAGTTTGAAAAACAAAACAAAACAGCTCATAGTTATTTCATAAAATAATATACCTGGTTTTATAGACGTGAACTACAGAACTAGCTGAAACTGGCACTTCCAACTTCTTTCATCTTCCGACATTTCAACATGATTCTTTAATGGTGTTATGGAGCGAGAATATGTCAAAGACATACTAGCAAATTAGGTTTCATTAAGTAGCAGAGAAAACCATTTTAAATAAACACTTTTCAGAAAACATTCACAATTTATTCTTATTAAATGTTTCAATCATTTCCATTTCCAAACTTTCATCAGAAAAGCGAAATTCAAGTACATAATACATTGGTAGTTTTTTTTTTGTTTTTTAAATTGTGTTTGTTTTAGAGCAAAGCCACTTTGGTTTATCTGCTGTGTCCACCGCGTGAAATAGAACCCCCTAATTTTAGCATTGTAAGCCCGTAAACTTACTGCTGACCCACCAGGGGACTCTTTTGAAAATAAGGAATGTGGTAGAAATGGATATGTATTATTGAAAACATTTAAGTGAAATATTCACTGGATCTTTTAGATTTAAGTATTTTCTTGTTTAACTTCTTTGGACAAGGCTTATGCTGTTAATATTCGTATGAAAAAGGTGGTGCTTGAATGACTCTATGAAATCTGTAATCAGTAAGATAGCAGTCTGCTGGGTATTCAAAGAGATACAGCCTGTAGCTCTAAGGTCTGTAACGTACTCTCTAACAAGAGACACCTAATAAAATGTCAAAAGATAGAACACTGTAACAGTAATACAAATGTAAATGCCTAAAATAATGAAAGCAAAGAGCATGACTTTACGATTTTTAATCAACTGCTTTTAGTAACTGTGACGATTTTGTTCCCCAATAATCGTTTCCACAATAGGGATATTTCAGATTTTCAGCTAAAATTTTTTGTTGTTCTTCACACTGAAGTTGTTTTTCTATTCTGAGATCTTGTAAGTAAAAAATATACTTGACTTGTTACAGCTATATAAAAATCCGACTCACTTTGTCCCATGAAGTGTTATATATATATATATATATATATATATA